CCAATTTCTGTATTAATCTTATATTTATAATTTTCTTTTCTCATAATACCCCTGCTCTATATTTGTATAACAATGTTAAAATAAAAATCAGAACACCCAAAAACCAAAGCACAGACCCTAAAAAAATTAAATAATAAAATAACAAATCCTATTCCATAATGAATACCCAGTATCTGTATTCCCTCTAGTCCAGTGGTTCTCAAACTTTGGATCGTGACCCCATGTTAATGGGGTCACTAGGGCTGGTGTTAGACTAGCTGGGGCACGGGGACCAAGCCCAAGCCCTACCGCCCGGGGCTGAAGCCAGAGGGTTTCAGCCCTGGGTGGCAGGGCTCAGGTTACAGTCCCCCTGCCTGGGACTGAAGCCCTTGGGCTTTGGCTTCAGCCCCCCCCTGCCCAGGGCGGTGGGACTTGGACAAGCTCAGGTTTCCATCCCTGCTCCTGGGGTCATGCAGTAATTTTTGTTGTCAGAAGAGGGTCGCAGTGCAATGAAGTTTGAGAACCCCTGCTAGTCTCTTCCTAACATGATATCCTGTTGGGATAACTTAAAGTATCATCAGAATGAGAAATATTGGGTAGCACTTATAATTTTCTGCCAGCAACTCTGCATATTTTGGCAATAACAAATCATATGTTCTATGTTCCCTTCCCCATTGCAATTTCTCCAACACTGCTTGTGTGGCAGTAATTTAATAAGCTTTGAGTTTCCATCAAGTTTCAGGCTGTGGTAGCATTCTGGAGCATATTTTATCATTCCATTCTTCCATTTTGATGACAAAAGATTTTCCTTGACTTCTTATAGGTTATTTTGTTAATTTCATTGTCTATGTAAGATTTATACTGTTCCTGTCTATTTTTAACCCTTTTCTATTGAGAATCCAGAAATCAGGTTTTCTGTCAATTACTCCAGGAGTTGGTTTTGTTTTGTTTTGGGTTGGTTGTTTTTTGTTGGTTGGTTTTTGTTCCCCTTGTGGCAAAAATATTTATTTGTTTGTTTATTTATTTATTTAACTGGAAAGAGGCAATAACAGAACCCCTTCCTGCTTCTCACATTACTCAGTGCAATAAATTGTCCGCTCTCAGAGGTTACTGTAATACTTTGTCATTTTCTACTAAGCTACTTTCTAAATTATTTAAACCTTTAGAGCACAAACATTAAGCTCAGTACCTAGAGTATCAATGGACTGGTAGTTTGGCCCCATTTTGCTATATGTTGTACAAACACAGATAGACGCATGTCTAATCTTTTTCGTAGACTCGGATTTTATACTACTTTGCTCAAGGATCTCTTTTGGCAGTGAGTTCCAGAAGTTAGCTATACATCATAGAGACTATATTGCCTCCCATTAGTTCTAAAACTGCATTTTTTTCTTTGTTTAATTGGGTGTCATCTTACTCTTGTATGTGAGAACCTCCATATACCTGCATGGACCCTCCCCATGCAATTCATTATTTACTGTGTGTATGTTTTCGGATTTTATACTGCTGCCCATCACTATGGTATCTGAGCACCTTCTACCTAAAATTAATAGTAATAGTGAAGTCTCTAGTTAACTTCATGGTGTCTCTGGCACCTCTCCCTTTTGGGGAGGATGATAACTCTGCTTGGGCTAGGGTTTTGGTTTGAAGAGAGTAATTAAGCTAAGGACAGCTATGATTATAAAACTTCCTGTTGGCGGCTGGCGGAAGCTTGAGTTATTAAAGCGGGTGTAAGTGTGCACAGAGAGTGAGGCAAATTTATACTCAGGTTTCCCTGTGGTGGCCAGATCCATGGGACTTTTCATAAAATATACCTTAGGGAAAGTAGCTGTAAGGAGACGGAGAGAAGAGATCAGACTTTGAGCATGCCAGGTCTCTGTCAGGAAAAAGATATCGACCTCAAGAGTAGTACTATAACTCCTTATACAGTTAGAGCTCTGTACAAAAATATATATTCTGATGAAGGGTATAGTTCAGAGAGATGTGTACTCTAGCAGGGATTTCTCATTAATGAATTAGATGTTAAGTAAAGCTTAAGAGCTTAGATGACACAATGGGGTTGGGGTGGGACTGATGTGTTGGTCTTGATCAGGATGGAACTGTCACTTTGTCATGAGAAGCAAGTAGTGGACAGCTGATACCTGAGGGGGAGCAGTGACAGGCCAGGTTGCTGAAGAGATTGAACAAAATATGGGTGATCTGGGATTGAAGAGTGAGAAAGATGGAAAGACAGGACAGGAGAATGCATAGTAGGGGACACAGGAAGAAAAGGTGGCCAAGAGTGCAGTAATGATAGGAAGGTGTAAAGATAGGAGGGTAGGGGAATGAAAGTGCTGTTCATGGGTGGGAAGTAGAAGGTGGAGGAGGGACAGTGGTATAACAGCTTGAGAGAAGGTAGAAAGAAAAGAGGTTGTTGCAGGGGAGGATTTAGAAATTGGGCAGGCTAAATAAAGGGCGTGGGGAGTGCTTGGATTGAAACCATGCAGAGCAATGAATGGAAGAGGAGAAAGAGAAATTAGTCAGGGAAGCAGGAGAGAAAAATTACGATGCTGGAGAAAAACAGGAAGGGATGGGGGGGTGGGAATAAGTGGGGTGGCTGTGATGAGCAAGTCCTAGAATGTCAGTGGTCTGCAGAGGGAGACTGTTTGTTTATTTTGATCAGCTGACTGTGTTCAGTGCTTAAATGGTCCTGTGTACTATTGTAGCATTTTAGCTTCCTGCCTGGCACGACTTATGCTTCTAATTATCCTCTTCACAGCTCCTCTTTTTCTGGCCCACATGCTGTATTTTGATTCCACATTACTCTCAGAAATCACTTCAAAGAAATTCAGCTGTTTTCTTGAGAAGGCAATTAAGAGGAGATTTTATTTAAAACCTTGTGCGAATGTTGATCCTGTTTGCAAAGTCAGCAAATGTATGTTTTGCAAGGGAATTTTCCTTTTGCCTGCAACAAAAGGAGCAGTTCATTCAGTACAGCAATTCTGATTCATAGCATGTAAAGGACACAGCTGATTTATTGTCATAAGCCGATACCCAAGGAATCGTTTTAGTAACATTAGCCACCCAAATGGCCGTGCTGTAATATTGCTGTGCACTTGTATAGCATTTTTTCATCCAAGAGTCTTACAGTCAAGTAAGCCTGTACCTGTGAGGTAGATGTTACACACATTTTATACACGAGCAAACCTAGGCACAGAAAGGTGATGACCTACCCAAGGTCACATAGTGAACTAGTAGCAGAGCTAGGAGGGAAACCCAGGAGTTCTGTCTGGCACCTCGAGAGTTTAGTTAATACAAAAAGATGATGAGTAAGGTAAATAAAATGTAATCATGGAGTGATGTGCTCATTCTATAGAGAACACAAGTCACGTATGCTATGTAAGAGTGGAGTCTGTTTTTGAAAGGCTTTCACCAAGACTGATTTTGTTCCTTTTTTATTTGTGGTGATATTCTAATGCTCTAAGACTCTAAGTGGAATTTAATGTTCGTTTGTATTCTCTTAGGAACAAGAGAATTGGTAGGCAGGAAGGAAGCCATGAAGCCCATTTTGTTCTATTTAAATGTTTCTGATAAGTTAAAATGCTTCCTTGTAAACTCTGTGTCAGGTTGCATGTAAAGGGTAGTTTGAACGTTAACAGAATCTCTTAAATTGTGTTTACGGAACATTCTGTGTTAATCTCACCCTGGTTTTGCATTTATCTGTTGTTTATAGACTTCCCTATGGCATTCACTGCAGTATTACCTGAGCACCCCACATCATTAATGGACTTATCCTCAACACCCATAGGAGGCATGAGAAGTGTCACTGTCCCTACCCCATTTTATACTTGGGAAACTTAGGCACAGATATTGTGACTTCCCACAGTCATGTAGGAAATCGGTGATAGAGCCAGAAATAGAACCCAGATCTTCTGAGTCAAAACCCAGTGCCTGAATCGTACCCATTAGCCCCTTTACTCTGTCCTGTGGTCTCCTTCCTGCATGGGTGGTTTGTGCTTATTGCTTTGTAATGAGGCATTTTATTTTTTGTCCAATTTCCCCTCCATGCTGTAACTGAGGGCCTCCCTGGCTTCTGAGACAAGGGGAGGAACTCATGGAAACTTTACAACACCCATACCCTCCAAGTTTCGCAGGAAAACATCTGTTCTGGGATGAGATGTAGCATATGAAATTTCAAGGGCACAAACTCATTTTGTGGAACTGGGGGGGAGATTCTGAGGTTTTGGGAACCTAGCTTCAGCTTTAACCCTGGAGCCGTTACATCTGCTTCATAATTTAAATCCCTGAAATGGTAGGGTGCTTTTAAATCAGCTGTATATCCACCCACATGACTACTTGTGATCTCTTGGGAGATAATGTGACAATTACATAAAGTTTGCATGTTGTCTCAGAACTTATGATCCAAACTTATTTCCTTGGAAGGTTATTGTTGAATCTTTTTGCCTTTAGTGAAGCTAAAGGGTAAGCCCCCTTATGTTAGCTTCCCTAAAGGCACAGAGATTCAACAATAACTTCCAAGGAAACATGTTGCCTTTCCTTTGGAAATCCTCACTTCGCTGTAGTTTTAGACAGGGCTATTTTTCACAAGTGTGATCACTGTTTAGTAAGTGGGGGAATTTTCCTCCAGCATTCTGGAACATAATTTAAAATGCTCTGATCTAGGTAAGAAGGATATAAATTTGCAGTTTTCCCTGTAGATGTTGGCAGGCCATGGAATTAATCTTGGCACAATAGAAACCAGAACTTACTACTGTCACTTCCAGAAAATGTTCTTGCCTAGACCTTTACTAAATAATTATGTAAATTGACCCTACTCTTCTGAACAAAAGAGAGTGGAAGGACTCCTGTGTGAGCAAATATCTGGTGAGCAGCTGTCCTCCACCTTCTCTTGGTCTGAATTCAAAGCCAGGTGTGGCTCTTTTCCTTTCAGACAATATGCACATGGCTTCTAGAGTGGCTTAACGCCAGCCTGCTGACATGCTTTACTGATCTTCTTTCAGAAGAACTTCATTTCTCCCCCCAAAGGAGAGAGGTACAGTATGGATATTCTGTCTGGGAGTGCTACTGTATCATAGTTTCAAGGAAATACATGTTTATAGAGGTAGAAGGGACGTAGCATTAAACTGAATCTTGGTTTTTAAAAAAAAAAAAGGGCAGTTGGAATCAAAATTCTCAAGTTTCTGAAAAGCAAGGGTTGGTGAATAATTGACCCCTGCTGATATTTTAAGGATTTGAGAAGTTTTGGGAGCTTGTGAGGCCCCTGCCCCTGTTTTTCTCTAGAAACTCCATCACATCCAGTGAGAGGCCATCTATGTGACTGGACAACACCACCTATAGTGAAGGGGCAAGTTATGGATTTTTTTAAGATTCTCTGTTTAAAACCACCCTTGCATGTAACACATTTCCTCTACAGCTTTACCATTATATGTGTCATTGGATGAGGAATTAAGTTTTTTATATTCCTAACTGAAATGGATAAGGGCATCAAAAACTCCAATAGTGCTCACTGATGTAGTAAAGCAGAGTGCATTAAGGTTAGTGCTATACACTGTTCTCCAGTAATCAATTACATTACGGATGTTTTCGGAAATAAAAATACCAGATAAGAAACTCCTCTCACAGGCTGAATTACTTCCTGGTTCTTTGTGGTGCAGTCAAGCAGGCTTCAGTTACGCACACAAGCACCTTTGTGGTACTCTATCTTCAAAACTATAAAGTTAAACTGAGTTTGCATGACTAGGAGGAAAACCACCTTATCTGCCCCAGTGAAGGTTTGGCAGCGTAATAAATTAATCCAAATATGCCTGCTGAATCTACATATAACAACATGAAAATTGTTTGTTTTTTTTTAAATCACCATTGCTAAACTGCCCCCAATATAAATAGTTAAATCCCTTTAATTTAATCCTCTTTTTAAATAAAAGTAATTTCCATGTGGCGGGGGAAACCAGGTTAGAATATTCCCACCTTCTTCCACTTAACAGTGCATCTAGTTGGGGAGGGCCTTGACAAGGGCAGTGACTGCCACATCCACAGCACCAACCCCATCCCCCTCCACCCCTTATTGTAAGGAAGCTTCTCTAATGATGCATCAGAAGGACTCTCAATTCACATGCAGCCATGAGGACAGGTCAGAGCCAGGATGTTGGTTCTCCCTGTCTCCAATGCCACACCATGCCAAAGCTAATGTCATACCAGGAGATTTATAAAGGCATGAGTGGGAGTTAATTAAGCACTCAACTTTCATTTGTCTTTGAAAATCTCCCCCATAAGAAGCAGCATCAACATCGGTTCTATTTGCTCTCAGTGCATAATGCACAATGCTGGCAGCAATGGGAGTGGAGAGTTCTGATCTGGTAACATTTTACATCCTCTTCTCAAAGAGGCTGAGCATTATGGAGGATGAGAGGCAGTGGAAAGATCAGGCTGTTTTGTATCCAGTGCTCTTGTGCCTTTCACACAGGTGTTATGTGGCAGGCAGTGTAATAGGGTTATGGGATATGCGTGTTTGATCTCCCAGAAATCCTGCTGTGGATAAATAGCAATAAATCAAGGCTCCCAGACAAGCTGCTGGATAGCAGATATAGCGATGCATGTTCAGAGTCTCAAGCTATTGAGCTACATTGGCTCTTTTGTGCAGGTGGTAGGTGTGGTGGTCAGAGAGAATGCAGGGCCGGACCATATTACTCTTGAAGAAAATACCCCAAAAAGAAGCAATGGATAAGAGATCCTCTACCGATCCTACAGAGATTAGATGTAGACAGGTACTTGCAGGACAGTGTGGCAGGAGTGAGAGACTGTGTGTGTGTATTAAATTGAACAGCTCAGATATACAAATATTTTTTCTAAAGCAGAATGTCATCCATATAATGAAGAACATTTAATATGTGTTACAATGTGACATACTTAGAGTTTGGAAAAATTCCAAAAAGGGTCAAATTTAAGATTCCATGTTTTGTAACCTAGATAATTAAATGGCACAGGCTAGCAGCTTTACAGCTTACCAAAATCAAACATGTCCCAAAGGAACACAGTTTAAACGTTTGCGTCCGTAAATCAACTGTACAACTGGGATCATAGTGGGTAACTAAAGGTCAGTTTAACTCAGTTAAGTTTTTGTTTTTTCATATAAGAAAAACAGCTTCTCTTCTCATTATCACCATCCTTGTGTTTTGTCCAGAAAAAAATTCAGAGGAGTTCAGGGTTTAAGTCAAAGATAAACCCACTAAATGGAGTTGAACTGCTCTTAAGTGCTGAATATGGATCATCATCAGCTTCAGCTGTCTCTACCATGGTCTGTAGGAACCCTGCTAATATTTCTTAACTAACAAAACAGATTTTTAAAAGAAACCTACTTTTTATCTTGTGAAGTATAAAATGGGTCCAATCCTGCTCCCACAAAGCCGATGGGAGTTGTTAACCATTCAGCGAGGACAGGATTGGGCCTAATGGCTGTAATTATAAAGGCAGACATGCAATGACGAAAAGCCAACGTTCTCTTATAGCTGGGATGTCAGACTAATGTGGGAAAAGGCCACATTAAAAATGTAATGTTGGTGTGTGACCAATGTCTATGAAGCAATATACTAGATCTTGTAGGCAGAGCTCCTACAATGGGAAGTTTGTACAAAGCTCAGAGAGAGTGTACGAGCCTTTTGATGGAACTACACTTTTTAGGCCAAAATTTTAAAACATGACTAGTGATTTGGTGTGTCTGTCTTTGGGTGCCCAACTCATGTTTGGCATAGTGAAACTGTCTCCTTTTCCAGAGCGCACAGGATAGACTATTGCATCCTGAGGCCACCCCTTTTTGGGAAGGGCTCAAATCTTGCAGTAATATATTCCTTAATTGGGCTGAACTTTCATTAGCTTCAATGGATAAGATAGTCTGTGAGTAAAAACTGCAGGATTTATCCTCTGCTGAAGTTCTGACTTTTCCAAATAGTTGCACTAAGCACACAGAAATGAGGACACTGCAGGAAGCCTGCATGCATTTCTGCAATGGGAACAGAACCTCAGTCTTCCCATTCAACCTTTGTCATTTCAACAGAGTAACCAAAAGACAATGAAAGCAGCTCTGTGTGAGACCGGGAGAAGTTTGGCCCTCATGGGAGGAAGCCCATGCTAGTGGGAGATATGCTCTGTGGGTTTCTGTGGATTGTCATCGCTTTATTTTATTTTTTTTAAAGAAAATCTGAGTTCTGAGGGGAATCCTTTAAAAATGCAAATCTCTTCAAAGGAAGATTGTCCCACATTGCTCTCATGAGCAGGGGCGAGGGATAGCTCAGTGGTTTGAGCATTGGCCTGCTAAACCACAGGCTGCCCACAGGCTGAAACCCACTGCAATAGCATCTTTGATTAAAGGCTCTTAAAGTGCTTGTAAAACATACACTAAGCCTTGCAGCAACTGCTCTGTAAGGTGGGGCAATGTTGTTAGCGAGTAAAGAATAGGCAAGTTAAAGGCCCCGATTGTGACTGACCCTTCTTTGGATGGGTGGAAGGTTTTCAAAGAGTACATGTTCCTTGTGTGGTCTCTATATAGGTCAGTCACAATTGCAGCACCTGTGTGCTGGTGACCCCAGTGCCTGCTCCACTTCCAGGGATGGCTGGCATCTCTCAGAAGATGGGAAGGGAGAAGGGGCAATAGCCCCACAACAGGAAGTAGAGTGGGCCAGCCACACGAGGGGGATCCTAAGGGTGGCGCTGTCTCCCTGTCCTCTTGTAGGGAACTCAGTGAGGATTGTGCCTCAAGGAAGGAATCACTCTCCAAGGCACAGTCCCTCCCCAGGATCCCTCCACGGGTGGTGCAGCTCCGTACCATTGCCTGCTGGGCCCGTGGCTGCCTGCCACCATTTGAGTCTAATTGCCTTTCCCAAGGCTACACAGTGAGTCACTGGCAGAGCTGGAAACAACCTTGGACCCCTGGCCCCAGCTGGCAAAGTCTCTTGGTTTTTGGTTTTCTTTTGGGGGCACTGATGTTAGGAGGGTCTCCACCACTTCATAAGTGCTTGTGTCTTTGAATTAGTAAAATTAAACTAGCCATATCCTTGAGATCAGGGTACAAGAACATAACTCGATCCACTACATCGTATGGGAAGACAGAGCAGAGCACACTGCGGATGTGTGCTCGCTCTCCAGCAAGTGGCTCTGGAGCATGATTCGGGAGATACTCGCTGTGAGAAGTGGGTGAGTAGCTGAAGGAGCCGGGCTCCTTGCGGGGATCTAACAAAAATGGCGGAATGGGAGGCTGATTCTGCAAATGCCTTTGGTATTGTCCATCTTCACGTTTGCTGTAGGGAAATGGGCCATTAAGAGGAGACCTGACAGAGTGTGTGACTTGCTGTTGGGCCTGTAGGCCTTGTGTGGACTGAGATCTGTCCACAATGTATTGGATTCTCTGACTTTGCGCCGCTGACATTTGCACATTGCAGCGGTGCTCAGGCCTAGGGTGAGCTGGGTGCCTACAAAGATGAGAAGGCAGCTCGTACTGTTGTAAGCACATGCAGTCCAAACTATGGTTGTGATGAGTTACGTATAGATTGTGTCTAAGATTACAGCATTGATGGATACTGTCCATTGCATCCCCTCTCTTAGAGGGGTCTGCCAGCCTATTTGCACTATATATCTTGTCCCTGAGGGATAACTCAGAGACCTGCTTTTCCATGAGCCTTTGATCTCTCTGTAGGTCTTGGTGTAATACATTTTGTTGGGGTTCCAGCTTACAGAGCGGCCTGTCTCCCCAGGCTCTTGCTGAATGCTCGGTGTATCTCCTTTCCTGTTGCGTGGAATGGAACCAATCCGGTGCAAAGCTCTGAGTGGAGCTGCCGCCACCTGTAGCACCACTGGATTCCTCCAGCCTTTCTATGCCGGCACCGTGGGATGCATTCCCTCCTTGGGTTGTAATCGGGGCAGCCTTCAGCTTTTCTTCCTCTGTCTCCAAGCTTTGAGAGGAGGCCTTTGTTTTGGCTCGGAGCTCATCAGCCACTGACAGCTGAGCTTGGTGCAATCGTTCTGGGTGGAAAAATTTGCACTTGCTGCCATATGTGCATTTTTTGCCTGAAAGAAAACAAAACAATGAGCTGAGAGGTAGGAGTGGGACATTAAAGTATCAGACAAATATTAATTTATCTATTTTAGGTACTTAGAAGGGAACCCTTCCCCACAGTATTTGAGCACCTCACAGTCTTTAATGTATTTATCCTCAACACTGCTGTGAGGTAGGGGAAGTGCAATTTGCTATTACTAAGGATACCAGAGGTGCCAACTTGCCACTTTCGCCGGGGGTGCTCGATCCCTGCTCCACCCCCAGCCCCGCCCCCCACTCCACCCCTTTCCCACGACCCCACCCCCACCTCTTTCCACCCCCTGCCCTGGGTGTGCTCTGCCCCCTCCTCCCCAGTGCCTGCTGCATGCTGCTGAACAGCTGATTGCGGCGGGCAGGAGGCACTGGGGGGAGGGAGAGAAGCTGATCAGTGGCGCTGCTGGTGGGTGCTGAGCACCCATTATATTTTTCCCTGGGGTGCTCCAGCCCCAGAGCACCCATGGAGTTAGCGCCTATGAAGAATACGATTTAGTCACAGAGGTCAGGGAAGTCACAGATGCTGTGACTTTACCGGACCTCCGTAATCTCGCTTCAACAACAGGGCCAGAGTGCGGGCTGGCGCCCTTGACCTGCAGCTTTGGCCGCAGCTGGGGCTGTGTGCCCCCTCAGAGCTGTGGTAAGGAGCTCCAGAAGAAAAACAGGCAGGCATCACTGTGTCAAGTTAAAGAAAACCTACCATAAGGACAGGGCTGCCATCTAGTAAAAGGAAACACTGGCTTTTTGCTGAGGAAATTGTGAAGAGTAGGTCCATGACGGCCTAGTGGGTCATCAGGAGGCATAAACCTGAAACCCAAAAAGAGCATTAGTCACACAATAGACATCCCTTTGTGAAATACTGCATTTCACTTACATTCCACTCTGGGATCTTTATTTTTTTAATCATTTATTGTGCACAGTTATGACAGAAAAGCCTTGTAACATTTACACAATCCCTATCAAAAGGAGGAAGGATGAACTAAAAATCCACACTCCTCTATCTTAGATCTCTGAGCTGCAGCCACACTCTTTCTGGGAGGGAAATAGTGCTCTTTAGCTGACCAGCCCTACAGGTACAGTACTGCAAGTTCATAGAGCTCCTCTCCTTGCCACAGGTTCTAGTACAGGGGTTCTCAAACTGGGGGCCAGGACCCCTCAGGGGGTTGCGAGCTGTCAGCCTCCACCCCAAACCTTGCTTTGCCTCCAGCATTTATAATGGTGTAAAATATATTTTAGAAGTGTTTTTAATGTATAAGGGGGGTTGCACTCAGAGGCTTGCTGTGTGAAAGGGGTCACCAGTACAAAAGTCTGAGAACCCCTGTTCTAGTATCCGCAGCTTGAGATTCCAGCACGGAGAGAAAGGGTTGGCATTATGTTGGCCAGGCAATGACTTTGAATTTTCAGGCCCTGTATGATACTTTCGAAGCAACAGAAAATGACATGTTGGTATCTGCCCAGACTCCCTGTGTGCATCTATATGCAGTGTTTGCAGCACAATGATCTGTGTTTAGCCACCCCAACTCGACAATATATACATATTTTAAAACAGTAGGAGTTGGCAGACTCAAATCCACCAGTGAAATCAGAGTGAAGGCTGATGTCTCATCACTCTGCCATTACTTCATCTTCCTATGCAACACACATGCACTGTATGTAAGAACACATGGATTTCTAAGACCTAGCACTAAGCCTTGGTTGAATACCAGACCTACCTATGAGCCTCTGCATGCAGTGATATTGTGTTATGTAAGTCTTCGAAGCATGGCGAGTTGGAGAACTGATTCCCCTGTCATCTGAATGTGATGTTTTAGGAAGAGCCATCACAGCATGAATGTCAATAACAGTTAGCACTTTTATAGTAATAAACCAATTAATCCTCACAATACCCCTGTGAGGGACTAGCTGGCTGATGAAACAGAGGAAGAGGAGCTAACTGACCAATTTAGGCCACAGAAGTTGTCAGAGTGGATTAGAAACTGAGCAGCTCCTCTCTCCTCATCCTCTGTTCAGAGCACTAGCCCACACATCTCTCAGCAAATGCTGATTGGCCGTAGCTCTTTCTGGTCTATCGGTGACCATGGTTATGTGAGATAGCAACAAAGGGTTGGTGGGGTTGGGGCACATGAATGAGCGAGGACATTTAATTCCCTATCTCTGTGTGTAATGGAACCAGCAGCTGGCATCCTAAGTGTCTCTTAGAGATGAGCAGGTCTGTCCTAATGTGCTTGGCAAAAATAGCTAGACGTATTTTAAATTTTTTTTTTTTTTTTTTTTGCAGTGAGGCTTGTGAAAATGTTCTGACAGCCTTACGAATGGGAAAGGAAGACAAGGGCAAGGAGAAATGTTATGTAAATGTTTGATACCCATTATTAACAAGGGAAGTAACCTGATTCTTAGAGACACAACAGATCTGACCTTTGAGTCCCATTATGCTGATAAGTAAGGGCATGAAGAAACCAAACACCATTACATTAAATGCATTGCCAAGTATTTTAGTGCAGTTTTGGGTGGCTCAGAACTACCAGCAGTCTGATATATCAAAGATAAAATCAATTGAGCGTACCACATCTCGAGAGGCTTGGTGGCTACGCTATCAGTTTGAATGAAAACTTGCTCTCAGTGCACATTACCCAGCTAAATAAAGGCCTGGACCAGTTGACTGAGTAACAACCTTTTCAGGGGCAGAGAAAGACATACAAAATTGGGAATGATCTGCACACCACCCAGATTTATATATCTATGATGAATGCAAAAAAATAATGAAGGGATCAGTCGTGTGGGAGACCAGGATCTAATTGCAGATCTTGGCCTCTCTCTGCTGCAGCTAGAAGGATCCTGGCCTCTTGCTGCTGCAGCTACTGTCTGGGAGGAATTGAAAATGGAGGGGAAAGAATTACTCACAAAGGGAGGGGGAGGTTTAACTCACTCTTAACCCAGCAGGACTATTAGACATACTGCCAAGCAGCCAAATGCCTCCCTGTTGCCAGATATCAATTTCATTGTGTCTCTGTCCAAAATAAATGTGTTAGTGCTGTGACAGGGAGACATCTTCATCTCATATCTCTTATTCTCTGCACTAGTCGGGCTTTAGGAGCAACATGGGTCCTAGATCACCTTTCAGTAAACCTGAAATAGACAAATTCCTCAAGGAGTTACACAGGACCTTTGAGACCAGAGGTGGGGAAGAAAAAACTAAAGACAGGATGCCCTAGCAGACTCTCTTAAAAATACACCTGCTCCCTTTGACATCAATTAAAGTTGCACTTATGGGTTGAATTTGGTCCACAGCATTCAAGGATGTAAATAGAAGTAAAGACAATTGTCCCCTACTTGTCACTGACAAAGGAGTACATGAGTAGCCGCTTCTCTATGAACCACTTCCACTCAGGATTCTCACTCTGGAGGTCCCGGTAGTTGTCATTGGACACAATCACCCCATCTTTCTCATGGGCCACTTTAATTATATAGCGATCGTCGTAGCAGACCACCCGCCTGCCTTTCACCTTGCGGGATGGGGTGTACACGAGAATGGTTTGCTTTGCAAGCTCATCAAGAATGTGCTGATCTGAAAACAAAAACAAGAGGGAGGGAAATCAGTGATTAGCGTGTACCAAACATATGTAGGAGTCCTTTAAGAATCTAAAAGCATCTTAAAAATAATAAGGGTTTTTAGGTACCTAAATACAGACTCAGGACCCTAAGTGAGGGATGTGATTTTTTTTTTAGTGGCACTGAACTATTGGCATCAGCAGGAGCTGATGAGAACTCAACAAAGGTATAAATTAGGTAACCTTTCTAGGTGTTTAAATATGGACTCAGGAGCCTAGCCTTAGACATCTATTTTTTTGAAATCTGGGCTTAAAGGACGATTAAGCTGTGATCCTGAGCTACGCTGAGCACCTACAACTCCCCCCAACTGCAGTGGGAGCTAATGGTGCTCTCAAAATCATCCCCTCATATGTGAGAACCCACCATTAAGCAAGCCTCTTTAGGAGGTAGCCAATTTACATATCTGAGACTGCGGATACTGTATTACTGAATTACAAACAACAGAAAATGTCTGGGTGGTTCAAAATCAGTTCTGAACCGATAACAGGCTACATGGCTTATTGTCGGTCATTCCTGCTGTTGGCTCTGTAAACATTAGGGCTATGCACACAATTTCACCTGTAACAGCAATTTTATTTCTTTTCCCTCTTCCACGTGGGTCTGTCTTCTTATCTAGAAGCAGCAGCACGATCGTAAGCTCAGTGTTCTTGCTGATTCATTTTTGTACACTCATTTCTTCTCCGCTCTCTGCCCCTCTGTGCAGATATAGGCTTTGGCTAACATGTTTTATATATTTTACACAGTAAGTGCCGATATTGGTAATGACATAACCGAAAATGTTGTGGATTGGCTGTCGTTTGTGTGTTGCAACTAACTGCTGCTGGAGAAATGTCACCCTCAAGTAATACAGCTGACAGCTATACCATACATCATAATGCAGTTAAGCGCTACCAGAGATTCATTCTCCTTTAGCTCAACTGGCAGAGGTCTGTGCTTTTGAAGCAAAAGATTCTGATGTCTGTCACACATGCTACATAGACAGCAACAGCATATACACGGCCACGGATTCATCACTGAAACACCCTGAAATGTGTGCCTTGCTGTCTGCTTCCATTGTGCTGCTTTCTCTCCAGGAGAGAATTGCATCAGATTCCTCAAGTCCCCAATGCCTACCCTTTGCATGACATGATAGAGGTACAGTGTTGCTATAGAAAAGGTTAATTTGTAATATATTTCAGATTGTTCTTGGAACACCCTGTCTACCTGTAATGGGGCTATCAAATCGTGGTGCTTCCTTTCTCCACGATGGGACAAAGACCTTGATGTCTTTGTGGCCTCTCTCCTTGAACCAGTCCACTGCCAGCTGAATCCCCCGGCATGAGAACACTTCTTTGTTCCCATGGCTGCAACCAGAAAAGAGAGAGGGAAATAGGTTAAGATTCAGGAAGAGGTTCATGCAGCTCTTGGAAGCTGAATTAGTAATACAAGGTAATCACAACATCAGCCCCAGCACCTCTTAATGATAGCCATGGAAGCCACCTTTACATATTGAGCAGAGAGCCCCAGCTGCACAACTTCAAATATATCTTCCAAAGGAAGAAGTGACATTTTATTTGCACCACAACTGGGATGTTTTCAAGGACAAGTGCTCCTGTACACTAGACTTCAAGGGCAGATGTAATTGGGGAGATACTCTCCCTCTCCCTCACACTGACTACCTCAGCCTCCATGTAGAGATGGACCTGTGACATAAAGGTTGGATTCACTTTAGGCCATGTGGGGCTGCTCTGGACTCCCCTTCCGGTGTAGGCTGGTGTTTTGAACAGAAAGTGCTCATGGTGGGAGCTGAATCGCAAAGCAGCAATTTTCTCCTCAGAAATAAAACTTCTTAGGCCCTATTCTCTTGCTGTGCTATGTTAAGATGATGGCCAGGGTGGCTGCAGGTCACTCTTCTCCAGCTGACTCTTTGAGAGGCGTGGAGGACACATGACTGGAAATCCCCACCACCCTCCCAGCAGATTGCATGTGTAGGTGCTCTCTGCCAATGACTCCCCAGCAGGGGACAGGACCACCATGTGGGGATGGGAAAATAGGAGACCCTGTGCCCTAGACCACTTTAATCTAGCCCAAATTGTTGGATTTTGTCTGTCCAGGCCAGAGGCCAGGGGAAAACCTAGGAAGATCTGTTGTAGCGAACGCAGTTATGGAAATCGGCTAAAATTCAGCATCAGTCAGGATGGCCTAGGGAAATGATGTCTGAGAGAGCCTGTAAGAGACTATATCCTTGTTCAGTTTCTTCACCCTGCCCCATAAAGTTCTTGTTTGTCATTATGGCTTGTTTAAATTTGACTACATTGTACATTGAAGAAGGTTTAAATTTGACTAAACAGTACACTGAAGAAGGTAATTTCGTTGCTCTTAACCATCTCTGCACAAGGAAATAAATGTACTGTTTTCATATATAGTAATCATCACACAGAGATTGAACCCTATGCTACGGTCCTGAAATGGAAAAACATATCCACACCCACGCTATCTACAGCAGCCTCACTTGTGTACTTTGAACTCTCTAGATCATATCTCCACAATCATACTAGTGCTTTCAACATTACAGAATACACACACTAATTATTAGTCTGTTGTTATAGTTCTACATCTGCACCCATCTATAGTGACATGAAAGATAGGTTAGAAATGTTTATATAATTACTGTCACAGGTACAGAGTACATTTATCTTCCGAACTAACAAAGGCATGGAAAGTATCATTTTATGCTGAATCATAAGTGCAGTAGTGAAATGATTGATTATCCCAAAATGATAAAATGGAATTTTATGGAATGGAATTTAGGGGGAGCCACCCAGCTGCCTCTGAAGGAGCTGTGGTTACAGGCCTCCAATACCAGAAGCCTACTTCCCCATTCACTTACACCACTGTTATAGCCATGTACCGTCACTCTGGATTTACTCCAATGCAGATGCAAAGAGAATCAGACCCCAGGAGTTCGTGTTTGGCATAGCGAGTATAGCAATAATACTTAGCCACCTTTGTAAAATGCTTGAGGTTCTGTGGATGAAAAGCTCTAAGGATTAGTACTGGATAAGCAGTGATGTTATTACAGTGAAACGAAATAAAATAGAGTCAGGGCTGAACTACCCAGAATGCCTTCCTCCACCTGGCAGCTTGAATATTGCTAGACATACCTGCGCATACTAAACTACATAACCACTTTTTCATTTTAATATGCTTGCAGCTGGTAAGATTCTGGCAGTTCCCTTTTCAAGTTGGGAAGGGATATGTTTGTTGTTTTAACAACCCTGCCATCAGGAGCTCTGCTGTAGAGCTCCTCTCCCCAGGCAGTCTAGCTCATGGTTAATATAGTTCGTGACTCTGTTAGAGATGGGGATGCAAACTGTTTTTCAACCATCCTACTCAGGTTTGGGAGACAAGAGACAAAGACATGTTATTTCCCCCCACCATATATATAGAGATGGCTTGATACAGTACAGTGCCCTATCTACTACACCACATGATCTTTCTGTACCATGTACCAATGAAGTTTGTCACCAAGATGATAGGATGCCAAAGCCTCTTTTCCAGCATCACTGGGAGTGTTTTAGCTAAAAGCACCTTCTAGAGCCATCCAGTGATCTAATTAATTTTCATAGATTCTAAGGCCAGAAAGGACCACTGAGATCATTTAGACCAGTGACTCTCAACCTTTCCAGACTACTGTATCCCTTTCAGGAGCCTGATTTGTCTTGTGTTATACCTCACTTAAAAACTACTTTTGGAAACCCATTTTGGGTATATGGCCTAAAAGCTCAAAATAGTAGCAACATTGCAACCAAAACCATCTACTGCACCTACAGCATAGCATCACTGGTTTTGAACATTTCCTGTCTGGTGATCTCTGAAGTAAAAGATTATGCACACAGCAGACCAGGGAGAGCTCTGAATTATGGAGCTACAGTCTAATTCCATTGCAGGATCCTGCAAAGAAAGATGGTCTTGTGGTTTTCAGGTGAGCCTATGCACACCTGTGTTGTAACCCAGCTGTGATAGTGACTCCTTGTATGACCTTCAGCAAACCACTTAACCACTCTGCAAATTTACTTAGCTACCTTTCAGAGAGCTAGTGGGGACTCAGTAGTTAGCACTTTTCACTTTGAGTCCATTATCAGTATTAAGTATTGTAACGTGGGCATTAATTTCAAGCAGTTTGTGAATTCACTAGAACCTTTGATGATGGCGATCCAGCCCCTAATTCGAGATTGTTTTGGCTTTTTTATTTTTTACTATGCAGTACCTGTATCCAACAATAAAAACCAAGCTCCCTGTTGCTTTACTTTATTGTTTAGCCCAGAACATGTGCATAAACCCCCTGGGCTACAGTGATTCACTCTCAACTGGCCTAACACAAGGAATGAAGAATCAGCTGTTTAATCAACAACAAAGTCCTTTCTCCAAAGATCCTAAAACACTTCTCCAAAGCTCTTTGGGACATCATTTAAAACAGCATTTTCCTCCTCATTAGTACTACTGTGGTGCCACATGTCGGTATCAAAGCCCTCTCACTGTCAAGTCACGACATCATCAGTGGAGTCCAAATTTTCCAGCAACTACCCACTAAGCATTATGGGACACTGCCCTCCTCCGAGGCATACTCAAGTGACAGCTGCAGTGGAAGACAGCTGTACAAGGGGTGAAGGACAGGTTGTTGGCTTTCCCCCATTGCCCTTGAAAACCTTCAGGGATCTGTGAGGGCAGAGGTCCTGCACGGAGTCGGGGCTAAGTGGAGACTCAGCACCAATGAAGATCCTGCAGAAGGAGTACCTGGCAATGGTGGAGGTAGTTCAGGGGTCTGAAGGTTGAGAGTGGTTTGGGGCTGATCTCAGGGCCTGGTGAAGTAAGTGAGGAACCTGTGGCAGGTTCTAGGCTGAGTCGGAGGAAAAAATGAGAGGGTAGAAAATTCCAGTTTTGGGCAGGAGAGCCGAAGCTAAAGCATGTGCTGCTCCCTCCCTACTTGCCTAGGGGATGGGTCTCCCATGCTCATGCCCAGCCTTCTCTCTCCTGCCTTGGGGAGTTGGTTGCTCCCACCATTCTGCCTGGAAGATAAATCTTCGGCACTTCTCCCTCCATCCAGAGGAAGAAGTTACCAGGCAGGGTTCTCTTTCCTTCCCCAAGGGTCAATCTCTGGAGGGGTTTTCTCCCTTCTCACTCTTGCTTCCCAAAGATCAGGCTCCTTATATGGGGAACTCCCCCTCTCCCCCTCCCAGGACTGAAGATGCTGAATGGGAAATCTTTTTTGTCTGTTCCCCCTCCTCCCCAACAATGCAAGAAAGGAGAGCATGCCAAGGAGTCTCCTAAGACGATGTCATCAAGTAGGGAAATGGGAGTTGGTTGGATAGGAATAACTGACAGTCAGTGTAGGTTTAGAAGGTGATTGCTGCTGGGCTTGATGGCCTTGGAGGTTAAGGTCACTGAAGTAAACGATGAAACATTTGGATGTTTATCCAGTACTAACTCTGAACACCTGGAGTTTCCATCGCCAGCTTTACAGGGGTGTATAATGCAATGTTGGTGCTAGTTGTGTCTCCTGTGTGCTCAGCTGCGTTTTTGCCACAGTAACTGGAGTATGTATATTTTTAAAAATTCTACTTCTCATCCTAGAAGTGGGACACAAACTATTTACAGAGAGAAAGGAGATTTATTTCAGTATGAAAGTCACAACTGAGCTGATAAACACTTGGAAAATGTAATATAGTCCAATTCCTATAAATCATGAATCAAAACCAAAACACACAAGCCAGGGATGTTTTGGGGTTGTGCTTGTAAAACCAAAATGATGATGCTTGAGGTTTTGGCAAAACCAAAATCCACATTTCCCCATTTGAACTGCTTTCTGCTTCTCAGATCAGTTAGACTCTTCACTCTCTTTCTTGAGTCATGGTCACCTGATTTACAATCCAGACAAAATGGCAAAAACAGTACAGGAACTAACTATGTGATCTACTGAACAAATACAAGATTCAATCAACTGAAATACTGTGCTGCTGCTTATCTGGACTTCTCCAAATGAATCTGATTTTTGAAAACCAAGTATAGTATTTACTTTATCTGGTCCTCCAGCTTGTCCTGCCAATGCCTCAGCATATTGATTTAGATCTCCTGGATACTTGTGTGTAGCGATAGCATGACCTCACTTAGGAACTAAAGTGAAGGGAAGCCTTGTGAAACATATTGCTACAGACAGTAGAGGTTAGGAGTTAGTTTCAAAATGGTGATCAGAGGTGATCATTATTTTAAAAATCAGCTCATGATACTGAGGGAGAGCAGGTCCATGAAATAAGCTACAGCCCCATGAACAGAGATATGAGATATCCTCACCAAGCATCTTGTGTGCTTCACACATAAAGGAGAGCACAACTTCAGGCTGGATTCAAATGCAAAGTTACTGAGAAATGGAAATCCCTTGTAGGTATCAAAATGGAAAGGCACATACCTCATAGCAATGTTGCTGCCATCGATCACGATAGGTCTCAAGTGACTGGAAGAATCGCTTGCCTCTTCTTCTGGCTGCTTGGGCACTGCCAGCCTGCTACATGACCCCCGGGGGACAAGTTTTGGGAGAGGATGCTGGGCCTGCCTCTCCTGAACCGCAGGCCTGCTACCTACCCGAATCAACTCTTTTAGCACATCATCCTCCAGGGCCCCTTGGCCCAGATTCTCCAGCACTTTGCAGATGTCCTGCTTGCCATACCCCAGCTTGCAGAAAAACTCCATCTTGCCCAGGTGCGCTTCCATCTGCACAGCAGATACTTCCTCTGGGTCTGGGCTGTTACCAGTCGGCAGGATGTGAACCTGCCAAGGCCAGTCTCAGCAGGCTTTTCTGTTCCCTTTACTTAATGCTTTTGTTCTCTCGGCTGCTTTTTGCTGGCATCAGCTTTAGAGGTGGGGAAAAGATTTTAAATAATACAGTTAAATGTGGTAGCCAAGGAACTGCTCTCTCTCTCACACACGTTCAGTACACAGTTACACCTGTACAAGAGGCCAGTCTTATTAGGTCCCTTCTGGCTTAAGAGAGTGCCCTAGCTTTTCCTCAGACACCATGGAGGTGGTTCTGCTCCACTCTTGTTAGAAAAGCACCCCTGTAGAGCATCCAGTTTTTGTCAGCTTCTTGGGGAGAGTGGTTGAAGACAGGCATTGCACTACTCTCATCTCACAGGAAATCACTTAGAATAAAACATAACTGGGGATTTTCAATTTGCTCAGTGTGGTTAATGAACCATAGATAACATCGTTCTGATTTCAATGGAGTGATCTCAGATGTCATAGCAACTCAACAAATATGGCAAACTTCATCTAGGGGCAAAGAGGGAGTGTATTATTTTCAGTATTACTCGGAACTTTGAAAACAGGTTAGCACTCATGAAAAATTCTGCTCTTGTGAAACTGTTCAGGTGAAATCACTCAGATGTTCCGCTGATGCCTGATTTAACCTGTTGTTTTTTTAGTACTAGCTTTTCTGTCAGGGAGGTTTTTTTACTTGAACAAAAAGAGTTTATCCTTACAAAGGTGTAGGTGTAGCACCTTGAGCCTAAACTTATTTGAGCAGTTTTAATTTCAGTTGGATTCATTGTTGAGGGGCTGTGGCGAGAGGGGCAGACTGAGTATGCCTGCCTGAGAGTAAGCTAAGGTAACGTAACTTTCTCCAGCGTTCGCTAGGAATGTTGTACTGGGTCTTGCCCTGGCATTTTTCTGAAAGCCTACTGCCACTGCAGCTCCATGATGGAAGCACTAGTTAAGACTGGCATTTTAACCCAACCTCATCTCTGCAGGAGTGAAGGCTGACGTTTCCTTCCAGAGAAGCTGAGCTACTTTACAACAGGAGGCTCTCTTGGGGGCAGAAGTGGATGGTAGTTAACTTAGAGCTTCAACGAATCAGGGTTCACCTGTAATACCATCTTTGTCTCAGCACTGGGCTTTTCAGACTTTTCAAAAGCCAAGTTCCTTCCCTGATGAGTTTGCAGTTTAAAATATGGTCGTTGGCTAGCACAATGAACAATGTGCTAGTGGGCCGAGACCACTGGCTGTGAGGCCGATCAGTCCTGTGTCACTGAGTTCTTGTACGCCCCTGCTGTATGTATCCTACTGTTGTCTCTCATCTTAGACTCATATTGTAAACTGCTCCTGGCTGGAGCCAACTTTTTTGTTCTGTGTTTGTACAGCACCTAGCACAGTGGAGTCCCGGTCCATGCCTCGCGCTCCTAGGCACAATGATAATATAACTAATTATAGAAGAGTAGTACCCCTTGGGTACCTGCCCTCACATTGCTGCCGTCCTCACCAGCGGCTAGTCCCAGGTACAGGCTCATGTGTTTGCTGCAGGCTTTGCATTAAGGAGCCAGGCTCCTTATCCCAGGCCATGGAGACTCGTGCTTTTGGTTCCATGGGTCCTGGGCTCAATCCCCATGTCAGTCACTCCAGCCAGGGCATCACAACATGTGTTGTGACCTAAGTGGGGATTGGGGGTGCTGTGGCTCTCTGGAACGTGGTCTGAGCTTCCCTGGCCAGACCCCATCTGTAACCCACCCACGTCTGCACTGTGGCTCTGAGCTCCCCCTAGTGGTCCAGCCACGGACAGAGGGTTGGAGTCTGCTAGCTCCTGTGAGCTGTGCAACCTGGGTCTTTCCGCTCAGGCACCAGAGGAGAGGTTTAGGCTGTTCGATCTCAAGTTCCTGGTTTCAAGCCCCAGAGGATTACACTTTGGGCTGGGAAAGCAGAGCAAGCAACTTGCCTTATTGAATAGATTGTGTGTGTCTCCTCCCTCCCTGCTTTTAAATGAGTAGCAGAAACGGATGGGTCAAGGGGCACATTAATAGTGAAAATACATTTCCAAGGGAACTCCCACTGAATGTCCGCTCGGAACTGATCTGTAAGGCCACCGGCTTCTCCCTCATGCTCCCCTCCAGACTCACTTCTGCAACATCTCCACTAGCTGACTAACAATGTATGGGCTATGGGGCAACTGGGTATAGTCAATGGGTAGAGACTTGAAACAGACAATGAGCCCAACCCTCAACTTGTGTAAACAGGGTAGTTCCCCATGAGCTACCACAATTTACACCAGCCAAGGCTCTGTCCCACAGTCACTTCTCTTTGAAGCCCCTGATCTTACAGAGAGACCCTCACAGCTGGATATTTGTGCCAGAGGAGTGAATGGGGCTCTGTGTAGCTTGAAAGCTTGTCTCATGCCCAGAGGTTGGTCCAATAAAAGGTATTAACTCAGCCATAAATAAAAGGTTTTGGAGCCTGAGGTTGTTCATAGCTGGCATTAAGCCAGAGCAGCAGTCAGTCTCCTCTGACTTGCATGCTGCAGTGCCAGGAGTGCGTGGACAGCTTTATACCACTTTAGCGCTCCTCTCCATCCCCAACTTGTGCTGGCTGCTGCTGAAAAGGTAGCTGTACAGCTCTTGAAATGTATCAGCTACCACTAATTCGATTCTTACCTGTGGACATTGTCTCCACAGGAAATTTTAAGAACTAGTCTTAAGAAGCTAAAAATACTGATCAAACAGCCTCACAGAATATTTGGTGGGAGGCTAAACCATTTGGTCATGCTGAAGGATTGTGTGGGTGAAAACTCAACTTTCTCCTCTACCACCCTCCTGCGTTGGCTGAAATGAATAAAAGTGAAGAGTTGTACTCACAGAGAGCTCTGTGACTTGTCCGATACTATGCTTTGAGTCACCGGCTGCCTTGTCCCACTGCTAATGCACCAGGCTGGCGTCTGAGCAATGCTGTTCCCCACAAGGAAGTCAGCCCTGTATTTAGAGGCTTGTTATAACTCTGATGTCAACTGAACGCAAACAAGTGCAGCAAGCAGGCGACGCCCCTTGCATGTGATCATTTTACTTCCTCAGTTGGTTGGTTAATATAATTGAACTACAAGTCCTTAGACTTTCATTTGTTTTGCAAAAGAAGAGGAGTAAACTAAAGGTTTGAAACAACAGCTTATGAGTCACACATGGAGAACCCAACAGCACTCAGCTAGCAAGAAAGAGAAAAATAAGTAAGTTAATCTAAAGTCTCAAAGTGGATGTTTACCAGGTAGTGTGTTTTATCAGAATGACGGGGGGGGGTGGGGGCGGGAGAGGGAGAAAGTAAAGAATGATTTGTCCACCACACTGTCTCCCGAATTCCCCATTTTGTTTCATTTCCTAATGACCCACATCCTGCAAGCCCTTAGCCAGGTGTGTCAGTTGTGGAGAGGAGCTGCTCAGCAGGCCTATGATATATTTATAAATTCACTTGGCCATCACAGATAAGCCCAGAGCTCTTTACTGAAGGATTCCTGAACTCTCACATTCATGTAGACAGACACACTACTCTCTCCAGAGCTATGGTGGGAGATGCCTTCCCACTATAAACATGGAGTTCTTTCATCTCATGCCGAATGCTGCCATAAGCAAACCACTGTGCCTGACACTTCACTGGCAGGGAGGGACCTAGCCTATGGGAAATATCTGCAGGGATGGTTAGTAGCTATGGGGGGGGTCCCAACAATTAAGATGGATTGAATCTCTGGAGCACTGAAGTTGCTGCAGCAGGCTGCTGCAGAAGGAGGGGGTGAAACAAGAAGGAAGCCTGCTATGTCATTGTCACACAATAAGGTCTCAACACTAGCCTGCATTTTATGTCCAGTGTGGATATTTATTTTATTTATAAAACTTCAACTTTAACTGACTGAGGCCCACTGCGTTGTACACACATATGGCCCTAAGCTGTTAGCCTGCATGCTCCCTTCTCAGGGCCCTCCAATTTGTTCAGTACATGCAGGTGTTATATACAGCTAGTCTTAAATGAGCTTGTGGGGCTTTCGCCTCTTTGTATGTACAGCACCTAGGACAACGGGGCCCAAGCCTTTTGGCACAGCCATAATATAAAGTCAGCAATTGCCTTGCTGTTACTGTAAAACCCAGGAAACTCATTCCAGTACATGGTGACTGGAGCTGTTTTTTATTTTTTTTAGAAGAATGATGAAAACTCTTACTGTGAAGTAGTAATAGTGAAACAGTGCCTGGGGTGGGTTGTTTCTGACTATACATAGCTGCGGCTGCAGCACATTCAGTGTCTTATAGCCCACAGCACAACAGAGGAAAGGGATTTCCCCCCCCGTTTTTACAATTCTAAATTTTCAAAACACCAGCTATTGCCCCATGACAAGCTCACCAGTGAGAAGTGTAACTAATTAAAAAACAGACTGTGCCATTAGTTATCACTCATGATGGCATCGGGCTGTTTTCTCATTCAGTGTAACAGTACAGCAAAGACTGTGTGATATTAGCTCCCCAGCTTGCTAGTGCCTGTCCCGGCCCCAGTACCGCCGAAGTAACAACAAACCTTAGTTCATTTACCTAAAGAATTGCATTGCTTTGATCAAAATGTCTTTGCGAGTACCTTCTCGTAGAGACAAGGACTAGTAGACGTTCCCCTCTTGAGGCCGACTGTTTTTGGATTTGGGAATTTCCTGCATTGTGAAATAGCCAGTATCTTCCCCCAGAAGAATGTTTTACCATCCTGAACCTAAAGTAGCTCGTGTTTGACACTGCTATGAGGTAGCGGACAGATTTTTGTGTGACTTCAATTGTACTTATGGTCTTAGAGGACCATGTACATTCTTGGTGTAGATTCCTCAAGTGAAATGCAGGACCCACTGAAGTCCATGGTAAAATTACCATCAACTCATATAGGGATGGAATTTCACCCTTGAACTTGAATTAAAATGTCTTGGCTTTACCTTCTCATTTGTAAGTGTATTACTGAGGCAGGGTGTTCAATCATAAGTACATACAATTTGCGCTATTGTCTGAGACTGTGGGTTCTGAGCAAAGAGATTCTAAATGGCAGGATCGAACATTAGGGCCTGACCCCAAAGCCCACTGAAGTCAATAGGAGCATCTCTGGGCTTTGAATAAGACTGAGTGCCTTGTGTCAGTTTATAGCAAATCTAAAATACTTCTGAAAGCAAGACACCTTGATTCAGGCCACCTGCTGATGACAGGAAGTGACTGTGGAACTTCCACTGGCACTATTATCACTCGGTAAAATTGTTTGGTTTCTTAAATTGCAAAATGACAGTCACCTTCCTCCACTAGGGGCACAGCAAAATATTATTTTGTTTGCTAATAAAAAGGGGACATCTGATTTGTTATCAGTGTTACAGCTACAAGAAACCCTGTTCTGGCCCATGCTACCGGTTTCAAAAGAGAATACTTTGCCAGAAATCTGGTGCAGTTTGAGGGGACTGCATGATAGACACACTTCGCTCTTTCAACCAATTTATGGAGCAGCATTGGAGGTAGGCTGCCAAAAACAAACAAAAACAAGCACTGCATTTAAAGCCAACCAAGGGGGACATAAAAGGCTATAGAAAGTGGTGATTAGTCAGAAAAGAGAGGAGAGCCCTCCCCTAGCCTGGCTGGATATAAGTTGGCCTGCCCCCAGCAAAACTAAACATGAGACGACAAAGCCACTAAACTCATCATGACCAGAATGCAACTATTTCAGGCCCAGGCCATTGCCAGCAGTTTCACTAAACAGGTGTAGGAGGTTTTTAAAAGATCTTCTTTTGATGCCATCAGGATACACATTGCCTCGTCCCCTTCCAGGAGCAGAAAATTCTTAGGCTTCTTGGAAAATGTTATGACCCCATTTCAAGATTTATCAGAACAGGACCAGAATTTTTTTTTTAAACTGTTGTTGCACCACTGCTTTAAAGAGCTATCAGAAAGATTTTATTCCTGTTTTTATAGCTGAGTTGTTCTTATACCCCAGAGTTTTCTATCATACTAACTTAAGCACCTCGCTCTCAACCAAAAAGTCCCAAACAAGCTTCAAGTTGAAAAGTTTATTACTAGTCAACCGGAGATTTCTTAAGTGCTCCTGAAAACATCCTTCAGCTTTAAAGATTTGTCATAACACCTACAAAATTCACGGTTACTTTTTTAATGCAGACACAGTGCATTACATTAAGACCATCACTTCAAAACAAAACAAAAATCTGACAGTAGCTAGAGCAAAGGTGTTCAGGCAATATATCACATACAACAAGCATTTGAGTGACCTACTGTCATTTAACATTTTTCAGATTGTTCTTAGCCATCAGGGTATTAGGCGCTTTTCAGAACTAGCTCCCTGCCCCAAAGAGCTTACAGTCTCTGGCTCTGATTTTACACTTGACAGTATGCTCTCAATTGCAGGATTAGAGACTAATTTTAGACCTGACAGACAGAGCAACAAGCCATGGGGAGACGAGGAAAGAAGAGACACACCAATAAGATCAGCTGGTTACTCAATTAAAGCACATGCACATTTTGGTGGTGCACTTAAACATATTTATCAGAATAATTACAACTCATTTTTATGGACATCAGGCAAAAAGTGAGTCTTAAGAATCCATTCGAATAGCATGCGTGAGAGAGAGGGGTAAGTGACTTGTAGGATAGAACTGGGAGGACATCTCATGCACAGGGGGAAGTATGGAGGAATAACTTTGGCAAATGCCCCAGTCAGTATTTCACAGAAGGGAAACACGATATGATTATAGCATTTACAAGTCGGCATTTTGATTATAGAAAACAGAGCTGGATTGAGAGCTACCGAAGCTGCCAAAATATGAACTGACAGAGCTGATCATACTAGAGCAAATTCATAAAATACTAAATATCTACCTACGAAGATCAAAACAGGAAACCATCAGCAAGACAATTGAGATGAAATACTAAGGTAAAGAAGGTACCTGGAAGAGTATAGGATGACCGATTACTTGTGGATCCTCCCTATCACATCGTCTAGAATAGTGCACCAACCAGCCCCAGAATGCTAAAAATCAGGCTCCTCTCATTCCCCACCAATATGTCAAAGGTGTAACCTTAGGCCTCTATTTTGAGACCCTGGCTTCCTGCAAACATTTTTAGTGCATTAACACCAGCACTGGCAGGTGATTGGGGGTTTGAACATAAACATTCTCTCACCTATGTGTGCAGCTGTTATGTGTGTAGAGAGGTGTCTACAAAGTTGCATGTGGACAAGAGCAGAGGACTGGAAGCTCCATTGAAACTCAGATCTATAACTCCCCGCCACCATGGAATAAGATACTTGAGAGTGTGCTACTGTACTTTAAAGCTGTTTAAGGAAAAGGGAATTCTATAAGGAAAGAAGAGGGGAAACCCCAAATCTTGAGCTCAGAAAACTGCACTGATGCCCTGGAGTGTCTGAAAAATTCCCCTTGAAAAGACGTCACAGCCACAGCTAAGTGAACGTAAAGAAGCTGAGGTTTCTGCTCCGAGGTTTGTGGTTTTACAATCAACATTACCAGGGAAATGGATTATTTAAATATCATGCTCATCAAGTGTCAGTATTAATCCTGAAGTTGAAGCTATCGTAACTGACAAAAATGAAAGAACAGTAGGGAAGTATGAACGCAACATGAGTAGAATGAGTCAGCTTTCTTAGGACATACAGGGCATGATTATGGCCTATTATTAAAAGAAGAATCTTTCTCTACTAAGCCACAAAACCATCGCAAGGACAGTCATGGTGTGAAATGGCTGGTTGTCTCAGCTGACCTTGCAACAGAGTTCATCTACACTGTAATGTTACTTCTGAACGCACCAGACAACATGAGCATGATCATAGCAATGGATTCCATTTATCTCATAGTGCTTAGAACTTGTAGCAGGAAGAGTTTGGATATTTTCCAGAATAGCAGCCTTCACATAGTGAGACATGCTGGGAATTGAGGTAGGTATGCCAGAATTTCTCAGCCCCATTTGGCATCTCCTAAATTTAGGTACTTACATTTGTATTTAAATCTTAGAACAGTAGGATTGAAAGGGACCTCAAATTGTTCATCTAGTCCAGTCCCCTGCACTCAAGTAATTACTCTGTACCTCTGTATTGAGTACAGTGACTTTTGCACATTTGAAAGGCAGCATGGAAAGTTTGCACTGACACCATCAGTGCTATGGATAAAGAGTATCCAAGATCATCAATCCATCTCTCTTCAGCAGCATTAATTTCAGATACAGCAAGCATTAAGAATAAGAATTGTGTTAATAGTTTTAAGTGTTTACTAGACATGTGGTGAAAAAAGAAGCCATTTCTGTCTTCAAAACAAGAGAACCTTTTTCAAGGAATGGATTTTCTTATAGCAAAGTAGGAAGTGACAGACAAAACCCAACTCCCTTGTATTTCTTAGGGCTAAGAGAAAACCATACTACTCAATCGGTCCCACTCTGGACAGTCTGTTGTAATACAATCCAACAGTTGAATACCATGTGCTGAATCCCACCCTGACTGATCACTGTTCCTAGCTCTGGGGGTCTCAGGGTAGGTCTACACCGCAACAAAAAAAACCCCACTGAACTGAGTCTCAGAGCTTGGGTCAATTGGCTCAGGCTGCAGGGCTAAAAATTGCAGTGTAGACATTTGGGGTGGGCTGGTGATGTAGAGGCCCATACCTCTACACTGCAACTTTTAGCCCTGTAGTGAAATAGCAAAGAAATACACATAAAATACAAAATCCTTTATTGAGACAGTCATCCAGAACCAAGCAGTATTCTACGCTATCAAAGGTTACACATGTACACTGGGCACTCCTGGAATTGAAAGATCAAGAAGCACTGGCAAACACAACTTTGCTCTGGTACCTGCACAGTTGTTTCCAATGCATTATACAAATATAAAAAGAGAAGGGGAGATCATCTGTATCTGGACCGCTCCTTATCTTTGGATTTCTTAGGACTTCTGCTTCGGTCTCTCTTTTTATCACGCTCTCTTTCCCAAAGCTCTCCTCGGTATTTGTCTTTAGATTTGCTGGAACTGTAGTGGCTGTCTCTGTCCCGAGACTGGCTGCGACTGCGACTTTGATGTCGGTCTCTCTTTTCACTCTTTCTTTTCTCTCTACAGCATTCTTCTTCATATTGTCGGTCAGAGTCCTGTCAAGGAAGTTTGGTGACATGCAGGTATAGGTGAAGGGGTAAAAATATTAAACGGTATAAAACAGAACAAGAAAGTAGATAAGACCCGCTCTCTGGCTTTCTAAAGCTTGTACTACTAGTAAGCAATTCAAATGCATAATGTGAAGCATTTAATGTGAAATAAACATGTGGCTAAATAAACTACAGCAACACCAAGAAGTGCTACCTTTAAGGCAATGGTATTCAATTACATTTTCTTGGCGGGGGGTCGGGGGCAGGTCGTGCAGAAAAGGCAATGTCCAAATCTTGGGGGGGCCAAATGGCTCTTCAGGTGTTTGCACTTTAGTGAAACCATGTCAATTCTTCACCCAGCTGGCAGGGATTGGCTACCTATGGCATATGCGCCAAAGATGGCACATTGGTTGATTTTGTTAATAGCATGCAGACTGCTAGTCCAATCAGGGGCATGCTTTGGGATGCACTTCCGTTTGCCTTCTGCTTACAGTCATGCCAGGTATAGGTGTGGTCTGTTTATCTGAATTTCAAATCGATCGAACATCATGATTATCTGAATAAGCAATGTGTTCCCCCACGCTCATTCGGGTAATCAGGATTTTCAGTCCAATGGTGGCGAGAGGAAGGGGGAGTAGCTGCAGAAGACACGAGCCTCCTTATTACTGCATGTGCCGGGGGGGAGCTGGGAGAAACCCAAAGGAACAGGGGACGACTTCCCTAGAGCCTGTCCCATCCCCACCTCCCCCTGCCTACATCCAGCTCAGGACTCCTCTGTAAGAGGACTCCTGCTACCTGGCTTCCCATCTAGCCAAGGGCAGCCCTGCTACTCAGCTCTAGCTCCACCCAGGCTCCTACCAGCTCTGACCAAGGATGGTCCTGCTACTCAGCTCTGGCTGTGGCCTGGGCTCCCAGCAGATCTAGCCCCTGTATTCTGTTCCTGGTCTCAGCTTTAACTTCTTTGCATGCCTTCACACCCAGGCCAGCGCATGTTGGCTTGGAGGATGCATTGCAGCCATGGAGTGAAAGGGGCTGCCTGGCAGGGGAGCTGCCCATGAGGCAATGTCCAAATCTCCACACAGCTCCAGCCTGTGTCAGCATGGGGACACTACAGCCAGGACCAGCAGGGGAGCCTGTGGCCAGAGCTCCCAGAGAGCCCAGGTTGGAGCTGGAGCCAGGTAGTAGGGCTCCCTGCATGGAGCAGGACAGAACAGCTGACACCCAGCCCATCAAATGGAAGGCCTCTGTGGCCAGATTCGGTCTGTGGGCTAGTAAATGACCAACACTGCTCTAAGGCCTTCTATCTTCCATTAGCTGAAAGAAGAATAGCAGATAGTGGTTAGTTCTTGTGATTAAGGTCATGAACCAAAGCAAGTGGTAACTTGGTAATAATGGTCGGGGTTCAGCTCCGGAGCTTTTGTTTGGCCTGTTATCACAATTGGAGTTATTTGCAAAATTCAGATCTGGGTTTGGATTTTGATTATTCTGACAACGGAGGTGTCTGGATCCAGGCTTTTGGTTCAGGCCCATCTCTATTTTGTATCAGCACAACACTGATTATGCAAAGCTCTATAATGTTACTTAGTTAAACTAGGGAAATTTCAGACACTACAAGTCATCAGAGAACAACTGCTATTTGAAAGCTCATAAGTAACATGATTCAAAATGCCATTTGGCATTAGAACTGAGCAGCCTGCAGCACTTCCCTACAAGCTCAACACATCAAAGCTTTTGTCAGAAGCGTTCAAGAATTTGCATTTTGGGAAGATCATTAAGAAACTGATTTGGCACTGAAATATCTGCCAAATGAAGACAACAGGCCCTTTAACATATCATTTCTGGAATGATTAAGACGATGGAGGCCACATCATTTCAAACCCCAAGCTTTTCCGTAAGATGTTCTGGTTGCTTTCATTTAAAAAAAATAGACTCTTTACTGTTTGCACAATCATTAAACTACCCAGAAGTGAGATTTCTTTTATTTCAAGATCTGAAAAGGACGATTTACCCTTTTTTCCTTCAGCTCCTTCCCCTCCCAACACACATGCATACACTTCCTAAGAGGTTTTGTGAAAGTCCATATTCTAACCCCATTTTGTGTACTCTTCAAGCCAGTGTTGTAGCTTGCGTGGGAACAAAGGATACTTCACCAATATGCAAATATCAGAAAAAACCACACAATGTAGTCATTGCCAAAGAGAAAGAAACGTGCTTAACATTTGTTCATAGTTATAAACTATCCCTTACCAGAAAGGCAGGTATAAATTTGCCTTTTAAATAAAGGACATATACCCAGTCCACATGTACTACAGGTATAAAGATCAACATTTATAATCAATAGTACACTGATCAAACAGGTGTTTATATGGACACCACAACGAACAGGTTGGCTTGTATTCTCAAACCTATTAACTTTAGTGTATCAAAACACAACAGTCACATGTTTACCAAAGCTCACCTGGCCTAAAGCACAGTTAATTTCACTGACCAACAGCACCAATGCCTGTGTTCATTTACAATTTAAATACTAATTTAATGTAACTCATGCAGCTGTGTGTGTAAACCAGGTCTTAGATTCAAGGTAAGTCCCCAAGCATGCCCCCAATGAACTCCCACTGGACCTCAGTGGCCAAGTTTCTAGACTTAAATCCACAACTTTAAATGGAAACCTTTTCTGACAAAAGAAATCCAAAAACTGCAGCACTTCCTTCAAAATAACTCCACAAGTGTAAGGGAACAGAGAGAAACCCTTCATCTTTTAAGTTGTGGTTGTAAACAATAAAACTGAGATTACATGAATCCAAGAGAAAAACCTATATAATTATTAAGTGATTATATAGGTCACAGCCATTGAGTCCATAACCTATGTGAAAGATACTTCCAGGCTGCCCTCACACAAACACAACAACTGCTGCAGAGGGAGATCAGGCTACAAAATCTAAAGCAGTCTGAAAAATGTGAGCGTGACAGCATGCTCTTTATTTAAATAGTATGCGCTGCTACAAAAGATTAATTTGTTTGGGGATCACAGAGCATCTTCACCTCTCTGCCTCAGTTTCTCTACCTTTAAAATGGGGGTAATACCTAGCCTCACAAGAGTGTTATAAGGATTAGTTAATGTTTCTTTCCACAGCTATCTGGCCATGTGCCCTGCACCATAGGCTGCTGGAGGTAAGGGTGGCATGGCATGAGCTATCCCAGCTTTATGCCACTTGAAGATCTCTCACACTAAAGTGTGGAACAGATGGAGTAAACTGGGACAGGGAGCCTGGGGAGGAGAAAGAGGAAAAACAGATCAGATGAGGAGCTTGGGTAGTAGGAGGGGAAGTTTTGGACAGGATGGAGATGGAGATTGGGACAAGAAGCTAAATGGTGGGGTGGGAGAGTCAGGACTGGAACAGAGACAAAGTGGAGCAAAAGGGGTCAGGAAAGGCAGAGGAAGAAGGGTATAGAACCACTTGAGAAGATTCTCCTACAGAACCTGGAATTGTTCCGAGTCTCTACTGTCATCATATAGCTGTGAAATTCACTGCCAACATCTCTCTCCTTTCCCCTTTAGTGACTAGTCAACATAATATTAACTTTGGGTGTAGTTTTGTACATGTAAATTTCCTAGAACATTCTGAAGACTGCAAAGTCAAGCACTCAAAAGTTAGGAAATGACAGAATTAAGGTTCCCACCTTAATTCAGCAATGATGCCCATGTGTGTTATGACATGGTCTTTAGTGACAGGATCACATATGATTTCCCCCCCACCTCCCCAGGATCCCTGCTTTATTTAATGAACAGAATGGATCCGCGCTGGGGATGAATCAGGGATGTGTAGTGAAGGCTGTTCGTAGGACCCCTGCCTTATTTGTTGCAGAAGATGGGTGTGTAGTTACTGAGGCATGGGACTGCAGGAAGAGAAAAGATAGTCTCATGGTTTAACCAACAGAATGCAACCCTGGGAAATAAAATGTTATAGTGTATGTGGTGGAGGCAATAGGTAGATGAGCCAATGATCCAAGTAGGATCATGTGTCATGAGAGTTAAAAAGAGAAGCAAGATAGCATGGAATGTTTCCCCTTTAACCTGTATAGTTGAAGAATCCACCATACATTTCAAAAGCTTTTTATTAAATCCACGCGCAGTTTACCTGCGTGGCAGGGATATGCCCTTTATACAGTTATGCAAGAATTGCTGACATGGTAATTGGTCACGATAATAAATCGGAATCAAAACTTTATAGAAGGAAGAGTACAAGAGCTGGATTCAAAAACCTACAGAAATGTAAACTCTACCTTGCTAGTAATCATTTTATAATCAAATTCATTTTGGAGATACAATAACTTCAAAATTTGATATATCACTATGAACTCTTGTAGCTGTTTGCCATCTTTATCATGATGTTAATAAAATTATATTAACTGAAAACTTACCTCAGACTGTTAATTATCTTTCTGTAGAATAGTTATGTCAGCACTATGTATAAAAACAACATCTCTCCCTTATTTTATGAAGGATAGCTGTACAAGTATTTTTATGTATTAATACAAATGAAGAACACTACGTTGACAGTGTGGTTGAGTTTTTTACCACACCAAAAATGTAAAAATAAAATAAAAACCTAAAACCCAACCCCAAGCAGAATTTTTAACCTGAAAGGGGAGAAGCACCAGAGACTCCATGAAGGCAAGTAAGGACTTAAATAGTGCGATCAATTTTAAATGAAAGGCTGTCAGATACTACAGTGATAGAAAGCAGTATAAAACCTGAAGACAGACAGACAAAGTTAAGGAAAAATAATCAGACACCTGCCTCCTGCAACAATCGTAATCACATAACACGACCCTACATTATTCAGTGGTCATCTGTTCAGGTGAATAAAGCCATCTTAAATACAATCCACAAATGGCAAACTTCTTAGATCCCCTGATTAAAGTTTCCTTCATAAGCAGCTTGGAATTGGGTAGGCAGGGTAGGAGACAAAAGTTTCTTGTTGCACAGATTAAGGCCAGAAAGG